GCAGAGTTGCACAATATAGCTAATAGAGTAAAACGTCAAGTCAGACAGGATATTTCGGTGAAAAATTATCCGATCATCACGAAAATCGATAGGGATCATCTTCATAATGATATTGACATACAAAATAAAAATCAAAAGAATCCGTAAAGAATTGTAGCCTGTAGAGTGAGCACGAGCCAAATGTGAACGGACGGACCGACCGACGGACCGACAGGTGATTACAATATACGCCCATCTTTCGAGTGGGCGTATAAAAATCAAAAGAATCTGTAAAAAATTGCAGCCTGTAGAGTGAGCACGAGTTGCACAATATAGCTCATAGAGAAAAACGTCAAGTCAGACACGATATTTCGGTGAAAAATTATCAGATCATCACGAAAAACAAAAGGGGTCATCTTCATAATGACATTGACACACAAAATCAAAATCAAAAGAATCTGTAAAAAATTGTAGCCTGTAGAGTGAGCACGAGTTGCACAATATAGCTCATAGAGAAAAACGTCAAGTCAGACACGATATTTCGGTGAAAAATTATCCGATCATCACGAAAATCAATAGGGATCATCTTCATAACAACATTGACATACAAAATAAAAATCAAAAGAATCCATAAAGAACTGTAGCCTGTAGAGTGAGCACGAGCCAAATGTGAACGGACCGACGGACGGACGGACGGACGGACGGACCGACCGACCGACCGACCGAAGGATCGACAGGGGTGCCGACAATATACGTTCACATAGAGAGATGTGGGCGTATAAAAAGCACATTGTGCAAACAATATAATAGTATTATATTCTTACAAAAATATATGATATCACAGTCAGGTAGATTAAATAAAATATAATGTAAACATTACAGATTATGAGTGGCTATTGTAAATACCAAGTTTATATACTTCATGATAAATATGTATATAAAATATCCTCTTGGTTCGCAATGACTTACGTCACACTAGAGCAAGCAAATTAAATAAAGCGCTGTTATTATTCATTTAGCTTGCAGAAACAGAGACATTGGCTTTAAAAATGTCCTGACATTGCTTTTAGAGTATTTTGAATGATATTATTACTATCTGAACGTTTATATATTGATAATAAAACCAGAAAATAATAATAATAACTATTAAAATCCTCCTCTCCTAGTGCGTTTTTCAGCAATTTCTAAAATTAAAAAAAAGAACATAAATTTGCGTGAATGGCGTCAGTTAAAAAAATCTTTTCCTTTGGAAATGAAGTGAATGGAATTTTACTTCCTATTTCCTCTGCACTGTCTGGGCTATTGAAGACGGGCAATGTAGGGTGCAATGAAGGAATTTAGCCAGAACAATGGAAATAGCCTGCTCTTTTTTCGGGAAACCGGGTTTTTGAATATCCGAAGGTATCATCTCGAGTTCTCGACCTATGTTTCGATTGAACACTGGACCTTCAGGTTAGCGAGCAAGTGTCTAACTAACTGAGCCACCGTGACAGCTGAAATAAGTGGAATAAACAAAATATTTCAAGGTTATATCCAATGAGTTCTGTTTATAACTCTATGGTTATATCTCTTTCAGTATTTTGCAATTGCTGTCGTTTTATGGCTAATTGTTAAAAATTCTTACACTTACAATCGCAGTGGTTTCGTCAGGTTCCAGGAGACAAGCTAACCCGGCCTTATAAACATATTCACCCAAATTCTTACACAGCCATCTAAAATTAGAGAATGGTCACTTGACCTATGTTTCTACACAAGAGAGTTGTATTAGTTTGTAAGTAAACCGACTTCGTTTCGTGTCATATATACAATAAATAAACAAAAACGATCCCGAAATCCGGAACAGCATTTTGGCGAAAAGTGAGTAGGCCTACAAATCTTTAAATAATTAATTCAAATAATCTTTGTGTGACCAGTGCTAACATTGAGCACATTTTTCTACTTCTTGAGTATACACCTAGCCATACCTTAACACAGTTACAACTTAACCCACGAAGAATATTACAATTAACCCCACCCACCTGTTCATTTTAAATACCCTGCCCACCAATTATGAAAAGTGGAACAGATCACCATCTAATCTAAGAAGTGATGTTATATCCTACCAATAATGCCCCCTTTACCTTGTCATAGATAATTATAAGATAGGCAAAGTTTCAACAATCTAAAATTTGACGTTTATGTTTGAAAAACATGCTTGGCGTCATTTACATTCGATTTCTTGAAGCAAGCCGGTCTCTCCTACACATCACACACATAGATATATAGGAACGTGAAAACTAGTGACTAAACAGGCGAATTTTAAAAGTTTACGGTACGTATAACTGATAAAAAAAAAATTATTCAATTTCAATACTCAAGGGAGAGAACTGATCTGATCACAAATGTAAATGACAGAAGTGCCACAGTATCTATGAGGACATCATGTAATCAGAAGAGTGAGCAAACCACTGGTTTACTGATGATGTAGACCAACACCATGACAAGAACGTACTCACTGTTGAATTTTTAATTCACATAAATCAAATGACTGATCTTCACCTTGACCTTCACCAAACTGTTCTTCAGATGTATCAACTCGAGGTTTAGTTTCACCAGATTGTCGTTCAATCTCTGGTAAAGTATCTGTTGGTTTTGGAGGTTGAAAGGAGATTATGCATTGAAACAGAATTGATGGCAGATATATAAAAATATATACTGAGTGACATTGTAACAACGTATAGAGCATGATATGGGGAGGTTATAAACCAAATAAACATTTATCTCCGAAATAGACATGCTTGTAGACAAACGAAGTTGGAAGAAACACAATTTATTTAAATGAAACCCAAACTGGCTTGATTACCTAAATCAAATTGTATCTTACCTGTCGTCTTAAAGAATCTCATATTTGAAGGACAGGTTTCAGCTAAATTATTCATTTTAGAAAACATATCTGATCTTAAGTGATCTTCGTGTGAATCTGACCTCTTCTGTCCAACTGTCTTATTTGTTACTTTCCGTTTTTCTTTTCTCTCCTTGATTTTCACTACCATGGGCTGATCTTCTTTATTTCGAAATTCATGTGGAATTGAAAATGGTTTGGAGGAATCACATTCTTCTTTGCTTTGATTTCTAGCCGTCTCAGCAACTGTAGATTGAGTAACCGAAGAAAATGCTTTAAAGGTATTTTTTGAGACTATGGATGAAGTTAAAATTGTTTCGACTGTCGGTCTTTCTGATGGTTCGTGGGATAACATTTGAATTGCCAGCACTTTTAAATCATCAGACCAGATTTTGCAACTTCTAAGATTGTCCAGCTGAAAAGAATGTATAAGTATTAAATTCAAATACACACATCATGTTTTCCAATAATGTGTAAAGGGCTCCCTATATTCACTAAAGTTTAATTGCTTAGACCCCTATATACTCATGAAAACTTAATTGCTAAGGTCCTATGTCCTTTTTATGTGCACCGGGGACATAATTTTCAATTGGTTGGTTCCTGTTCCTGCAATTCTATGGAGGTATAACGTTGCCAAAATTGTCGATTGTGTTGCAGCTTTAAAATACCAATGTTGTCATTACAAAATGCAATTTTCAATTGAAGTTGTCCCGTGCGTGAGCCGTGAAAGTTGACATGTTCCGTACATTTCTGCTGTCTTTTTACGTATGCAAATGAATACGTCATCATTCCATATAAGGTATAGGCCTATGTTCGATTATATAAAGTCTATTGTGTAAGGCTTAATAATGCAAAGTGTTAAATGTTATCTGCATTCATTTAGAGAATACTTGTACATTTTGCATTTTTACAAATCGATCATTGTACTTTGCAGAATTGACATATGCATTTTGTAACGACGACATAGGTATTTCAAAGCTGCGACACAATCGACAATTTTGGCAACGTTTTACCATACGATCCCACTAAAACTAGTGTAGGTTATTTAAATCAACTTACATTTGTTCCAATTCTGGAAGATCTCCTCAAAGCTTCGATCGATTTGCCCTCATGTAACACACTACCAGTCATCAAAGCATAACACAAACAACCCATACTCCATATATCTGCCTTTAAAAGCGTAAAATCCTAGCTGCTGATGATGGAGGGTAACAGTTATGATCAGTCATGATCAGTATTAAGCTTGACAGGTAGCAATATATTCACGTCTATATTGACTAAGTAAGCTATTCGTTTGTCTTTTGGGTACTCCATAACTCGTCCCAAATTTGTCATAATATCAATATAAACCTATATACTAACAATAGTGTCAAATTAAGCAAACTATTTGATTAATTGGTGTTTTTAATGAATTATCATGTATTCTTAATCATATCATTATGTTCTTAGTGCATATAATTAAGAGTTTTAACCAAACATAAATGTCCATGTATATACAGTCTGGATATACAAAAACAGACTTTTTGACTTTTATTGATCGGTCGCTCATTGAAATTTTGCTGGTAATTCTCTCCTAAATTAGCTAATTATGAATTAATTATGGACATGTGAGACAAACTGGTATTTTTCCAAGTCATTAGAACACCTCTACTTTCTATTCATGTTAGCATTTTAATTTTCACAAATGAAATTAAGGGAACCCATCTTTACAGGTTTACTGCATTTTGGAATGAATAGGAAATTTCTCAAACTTTGACAATAAAAGTATATATTCACCAGTGGACTTACTTGATACCATAACTGTAATTTTTTAATTAATACAGAGATTTTATTGTTTTGACTGTTATGACATCATATTTCAATTCATTCGCAGTTTAAGATTTTATTCTCCTTCTATAACACTTACCTTTCCACTATAAGGTTCTTGGCGTAACATTTCTGGACTCATATAATACGGCGTTCCTATTACTGTGTTGGTCACATCACCATCAGTTAACTGCCTGAAATTCAAATCCATAATACATATTCAATCAAAATCTTAGAAAAATAAAACAATATTATGGATATACAACTCCTTCCTTTGATGTTAGAAACGTTTCAGTGCTCATACAGGAATCTTAATCACACATAAATCTCTAAAAATCTTGATTAGAACTTTGTATCAAATATATGTCGGTAGCAATAAAAGAGTTCCTTCCAATTACCAAATATTTCAAAAACATAGTAGAAAGTTTTACATTATTGGACATGGGCATACTGATTACTGAGTGACGGTCATTTAGTTTCACACTGCTGGTATCCAACACGGTCAAAACCTTTTAAACTTCATGAGTTGGTTGAGCAAAAGATTTGTCAAAGTTGTGGTGGAAATGGTGACACTTATTGTAAGAATTAAGATAGCTTGCCAGGCAAGGTAATATACGCCCACTGGCAGATTTGATTTTGAATAAAAATATTTAGCAGTACAGTAACAATCACCAGTATGAAATATTCAACCTTCAGTCATACACTTCTTTTGAACTCTTTAGGGTGATACTGAATAATATTGAATATGAGTTATTTCCCTTGTTCTTGAAAAAGTGTTCAATTTTTAGCTCGTGAATACTCTAAAAGGTAAATATTCAATCTTCAGCGCGGGACTGAATAATAAAACCAAGTTTTGTCAAACCCAGCAAGAATCATGCCTTTTAGTGTTTAAGAGCTAAATTTGAAAGCGTTTTCAAGAACAAGGGCAATAACTCATACTAACTATTTTTCAATACTTCTGATTTTCAATAAGGTTCATCCTTAAGTGATTACGAACATTCACACCACACCAAGTTTCATCAAACTCCGTCCAGAATTGTGCCTTCTAGAGCTAAAAAATTTTTAAGAACAAGTGCAATAATTCATACTAAATATTTTTCGATTTTCAATGGTTTATCCTTATGTGATAACAAACACTGATGCCGAGTTTCGTCAAAATCCGTCAAGAATTGTCCATTCTAGAGTGTTTACAAGCTAAAAAATTGAACGCATTTTCAAGAACAAGGGCAATAACTCATACTAAATATTTTTCTATTCTTCTGATTTTCAATAGGGTTCATCCTTGGGTGATTACAAACGCTCACGCCAAGTTTCATTAAAATCCGTCAAGAATTGTTCCTTCTAGAGTGTTCACGAGCTAAAAATTGAACGAGTTTCCAAGAACAAGGGCAATAACTCATACTAAATATTTTTCGATTTTTCTGATAGGGTTCATCCTTGGGTGATTACGAACACTAATACCAAGTTTTGTCAAAATCCGTCAAGAATTGCGACTTGTAGAGTGTTTACGAGTAATTGTGGACGGACCGACGGACGGACGGACATGGGTGACGGCAATATACGCCCCCATTTCATGTGGGCGTATAAAAAGAACTACCTACTTTGCAGTACCAAAGTCGCCCAATTTCAACGTTAAGTCTTTAGAAACCATAACATTCTGGGGTGTTACATTTCGATGAAAAATGTTTCTCTCTTGAAGATGCTGTAAAATGAATCTATATTCTATATTAAAGATAATAAATAGGATTATTGCAATCACCAAGTTTCGTCAAAATCACATTTTCAAGAACAAGGGCAAAAAACATTTTCGATTTGTCTGATTTTCAATAGGATTGAAATTTCATCAAAATGGGAGAAACATTGTATTCTGTATGATATTTATCCATCATCCAAGTCTGTACTTGACCAAGACGGGCTTTAATTTAGATTGGAATCAGGGTAAATTTTGAACCTCACAAAACAATTCGGTATAAATTTTCGATCTTGTCAATGATGTTAATTTATAGTTATAGAGAGTAGTCGCATATATCTAGACTAGACAGAAGATTTTCACAAAAAAATATCCAATTTTATTTGATTCACAGCTAGTTGTGATAAATTCTAGTTTTGGGTAATCATATAGGAAATATTGGATCGCAAAAGAGGTCATTTTGACTCGCGCTTCTCGGAACCCCATTGCACCCACGGGGGTGAATTCTCAATTCGCGGGGGTGAAACTTGGAAAGACGGGGAATTGAAGGGGAATTCTACTCTAAAGGGGGGAATTCTAATTCGAGTGCACTTTCGTGGAGTGTGCATTTAACGTCTTGTACGAAATTAGCTTCCAGATGAAGATCCTGTTCACCAAGTACATGAAGTACATACACAATTCTTCGCCTGTGTTCTTTAAGTTTCTTGAAATGCTGTCCATCCATCCGTCGTCTGTTCACAATTGGCTTATGAACGCAATACGCCGCAGTTTTTATTCAATTTTTATCAAATTTGGTGGATAGGTTTATACTCACAAGATCTTGGACAAGTTTTGAGTTTCATTTAACACATATTGACGACAGCCCTTGATATACAGAAAATTGAATGGATAAGTGGGCGACGGCTTGTAGGTATTTTAGTAATTTTATGTTTTGAATTAAAGTGGGGAAATTGATAATAAAGGTTGAGAAGCCCTGTCGTGCCTTAACTAAATCAATTACTCCAAAACCGTTAATCCGGTTATTACAAAATTCGAACTTGGTCGAACTTCATGAAGATCAAATTAAAACTGAAGTCGACAAGAAATGTGGACGGAAAGACGGGAAAGAGGCAACGGTAATATACGTTCACATTTCAATGTGGGCGTATACAAATATTGTTACCTTTAAAGCAGAGGCTAGTTGACGAATCCATTCAATAAGTTGTGGTTCTGAAGGTGTCCCATTTCGTTTTACATATGTCCATAAGTCTAGGTTTTCGTAGTATTCTGTGACTATATATACATTGTCTGTAGTTTGCCAGGAATCGGAATATTGGATAACATTATCATGGGTTATGCTGGCCAAAATACAAATTTCTCTTAAAATATTCAGAACCTCTCGCTCATCTTTTTTGATATCTGCTAGATTTATTATTTTTAAAGCAAACTGAAAAAAGTAAATCAGACGTAGCTTTGCATCATACTATGTAGTCTTTGGCAGTGTGAAAAAGGAAATGTTTTTATATATCCACAACTGCAAAATCAAACTCTTTTTCCATAACAAACGTTCAATTAATTCTTACAAGTGACCTCTACTAATAGCATGATGCAGTTAAAATGAAATTCTTCATCTTTTCACGTACGAATTCTAATTTAAATTAGACTACAATTTCCTATCTTTTTTGTACTCTGGTGACTAAAATATATACCTCTTATTGTAGGCCTACCTATTCAAAAATAATGTAAAGAACTATTAATGAAAAAAAAAATCATTATTAACTACTAAAATATTTTTCCGACACAAATATTTTGATCCTTTATCTATATAGCATTGCTTATTGATAAAAAAGAAAAACTTTCAAAGTGAATTAAATTGACCATTAAATTGATGCACTAGTAAAAGGTCTCTTTACGCATTAATGTCCTTGGAATCATTGCTCTTAATTAGGAAAACAGGTGACTATGACCTCGAAACCTTCCCTGTCAGCCAATCCACAAAAAGAGGATCTATAGGATTTAACATATAGAAATGGGATCGTAGAGATAGGGAACATACAAATTCCAGGACCGAGTTTTTCTGGCTCTACACAAGCCGTCAACTTTCAAAACAGGCATCAGAGGCTCGAATTCAGGCAGATATTTCGGTCTGACTCATCACATGCATTTTTTTTTATATAACTATTGATAGATTTTGGCATCTATAATGAATAAATTTGTAGTTTTGTCCATTACATATAATTGAATATTGTACCAGTTATTTCTTAAGGCCCCATTCAAACTTCTACCCGCCTATAATATATATATATATATATATATATATATATATAAAAATATAAAAAATATGAATTCATTACGTCGTAATTTAAAAATCTTACCTGTTGATTTTGATTTGAAGAAGAAACTCGGTACACTTTACCATATGAACCTTCACCAAGCTTATCATATATTTTATAAAATTCAGGTCGTTGTGGGCCTTTAGGTGGAAAAATTCTATTTGGAACACCATCCATTTTCAGAATTAATCACCTCCTGGTCTTTTGTTGTCCTTTAACAAATAGTTGTTTATTCAATAGTAGGCCTAGTCGTTATTGAGTCAAGTCTGATCAAGTCTTTTGTTGGTTATTATAAGTTTACGGGTATTCCCCTTTTTAGTCCTTTATTTAAGTGTTATTTATATGTTTTTAAGCTACTCTAGAATCGGAAAACTTATATAGATAGGACTGACAGTGAAAAGGTGCCGGTTTTTTAAACTTAACTCTCAATTTCAATCATCTTAACTTATATATAGTCCAAAACTATTGTCGATCTTTGAAAGATTATATTGAATGTTTACCGCTGGTGTGGGATCAAAACATCTGGACAATTCAATACAGATTTTATGTGGAATCTCATCAACAGTAGTGATTTAAATCACTGATTATCCCCACCCCCCCATTCAACAGTCACTAATTCTGTACTTTGATAATTTACACTACAATTCCCAACAGGAATAATCACTAATGAGTAGGCATGATCTTGTGTCAAAGATTACTATTGATCATTTGTTCATTTGAATCTCTCATAATTCACCTCAGTGCTGTTCACAGTGGTCGAATCTCCATCCTTTAAATACTAAAATACTAAATTGAATGAATTTTCATTGAAATAAACTAAGTTCAAGAATCGAGCTATTATATTAATATTCCTTGTCATGAGAATTTAAAAAATTAAAATAAATCTTGTTTGCTTAAGCGTTTTTATAAAGCTTATCAAAAGGCAGACTGAAACTTATAAGATAGTGGACCACAGCCATATACGCCTACCACGGCATGCGGATGGTAAATATTCAAGATTTATGAAATCCACATTTTGAGGTAGACAAAATATTCAGTTCAGAATGAAGGACTAAATATGTTGGATGGATTTCTTATAGTAAAACAAAGCTTAATTTTATGAAGACTCATCTTAGAAAAAAAAACAAAGTAAATAAAAAATTAGTGAGTTTTGAATTTAAAACTCTTTGTTACAATACATGATTTACAAATTTAAATACCGGTAATATATTACATATGATATATATATATAATCTCTTTATCATCACAGCCTTAAAATAGATTCAAACAATTCTTTTATCATTTATGTCAGATGGTAACCATGCTACTATGTCAGATGATACATCCTTACACTAATGTCAGATATTGATTATGCTACATATTCACACTAATGTCATATTTTAACCATACTACATCCTTACACTAATGTCAGATGTTAACCATACTACATCGTACTGATTTGATCATGGTACATCTTCATACTAATGTCAGATGTTAACCATGCAACATCCTCAAACTAATGTCAGATGTTAACCATACTACATACTACTGATTTGATCATTGTACATCTTCACACTAATGTCAGATGTTAACCATGCTACATCTTCCTACTAATGTCAGATGTTAACCATGCTACATCCTCACACTAATGTCAGAATGATGTTAACCATACTACATCCTCACACTAATGTCAGAATGATGTTAACCATACTACATCCTCACACTAATGTCAGATGTTAACCATGCTACATCCTCACACTAATGTCAGATGTTAACCATGCTACATCCTCACACTATCATCAGATGTTAACCATGCTACATCCTCACACTAATGTCAGAATGATGTTAACCATACTACATCCTCACACTAATGTCAGATGTCACCATGCTACATCCTCACACTAATGTCAGATGTTAACCATGCTACATCCTCACACTATTGTCAGATGTTAACCAGTCTACTAGTGTAAGATGTTAACCATGCTACATCCTCACACTAATGTCAGATGTTACCTTGCTTCATCTTTACACTTATTAATGTCAAATGTTAATCATGCTACAACTTTCACCAATGTTGGATGTTAGCAAGACACGATTCTTACACTATGCCAGATGCTTACCATGCTACATCTGTACGCACCACCAAGTAAAAACACTTAAAAAGCACCATCAGATAAATAATAAAATATATTATAGAAATCTTTATCATAGTCTATTTGATTTGACAGTTTCTTTTTTTCAACTCAAAATTCTGTCATTTTTCATCATCAGCTTTCTCTGTAGTATCATGTTTGTTATTAATCAATGTACTATGAGCTATATCATGTAATTCCTCTAATTGTTGTTTTTGATTATCATCTAACTGATCCAATCGTTTCTTTAACATCTTTAAATCTTCTTGATGCTGTTGTTCCTGAAAAAATTCAATGTTTACGTGTAAATACATTTAAATTTTATGGCAAAATGAGACATGTAATAACATCTGGCTGACAAAGTGTAAAAGAACCAAAAGTGCATAAATTTTAATTTGATAAAAAAATGGGTAACAATTTATTGAAATAATCATTTAATGGATAGATTGTGATATGTGAGACTCTGAAAAAATGTATTGATAATGATCTGTGTATATCCATATTGACGTAACTTTTACTCTACTTTCACTTTTCATGTGCCAGCCTCTGATTATGGTTGTTGTAATTTTAACATCTTAAAAATTAATGTTATTTTTGCTTAGAATAATATTTTACGTGAACTTTGATATACCAATGAACTTGTGTCGACAGTAGTCATATTTCATCCCTTGATAAAAACAACAAACATTCAAAAAAGAAAAGAAAACTACTTACAAATTCCCCTGATAAATTCAGTGTAGAATCTTGTATACGAGCCACAGCAAACGATTTCTCACCAATAGATACATGATCAATATTAGGTAGTAAAATAGCACGGAATTCTTGATGCCTTCTGTATAAATCTTTCCATTGTTTTTTTAATTTATTATGTACTTCAGGAGGCACACATTTTCTACAAAATAAACTCATCAAAGTAGTGTTTTAATTGAATAAGATCTATCATTTAAAACAGGCTTTGTCTACAGTTATTTCCCTTTGGCCTCTAATAAACAGTACAGAACCAGAATATGTCACATTCAAAAAGTTATTTTCTATTCCTTTCCCCGCCATTTTGAATTCTGTTTACACTTACTTTCATTGAATGTCTGGTTGATTACTTCAATCGTGAACTTGCAGAGCTCCTTAATCGAGAGACCCCTAGGTAGATCAATAAGTTTCTAGGATTTTTGTATTCTGGTCAGAAGATAAGAAGATGAAAGTATTCTAATACTTACTGTAAAGCTTGTTTTTCAAGTTCTAACTCCTGATTTTTGGCTTCTAGTATCTGAACACTATCTTGTAAATTTTCTGTTGTTTTGTGACTTCTTTTCTTGTACTGAAACATAAAGATGATTCTACCATGCATTATAAACAATTAGCAGTTAGCCTGATAAATCTCATATGTAATATACGGTATATTATATACCAATGTGATTTTAGCACAATAAGAGCCAGACGTGATGTCACTTTTTTATGAAAGTTCAATTTGATTCATTTTGTGTGTGCTAGTATTTGAGAATTTTCACCATGAAAAGGTCAAATTATACATCACGTCTAAGGAATTAGTAGCACCAGATTTGTCAGGCAATGCTTAAGTATGTCATAAAGGTCATAATAATACTTTACTAACAACAGGACACTTTAAGAAATTTCTGGACCTATGTTAGGTCTATGATTCCAGAATAAAATCAGTAACGACTGGATTTTACCTTCTTAAATATAACAGCAGCTTTGGCTAATTTGGATTGCACTGAAGAATATTTGTCCTCTAATTCATTCACTCTCTGTTGTAATTCATTCTTTTCATCTATTAAAGCTGATTTGGTATGGGACATGATTTTATCATGATTATTCTGTATCTTAACTAACTGTTCTTGTGTTAGATTTAACTCATCTTTTAACAGTTCAACTTGATTTCTTAGTTTGATATTCTGATCAGTATTCTCCTGTTCGTTACTATAAAAACTGTTCAACTCTGTTTCTAGTTTATTTATTCGACTTTTTAATTCTGAATTTTCTGATCTTTCTCTTTCTATTTGATCTTGTACATTCTCAAAATGTTGAACTTTGGTTCTGAAAAGAAGTAAAAGATAATTTACATGATTATCTATCAACATGTCCTCAGAGAAAATAATAAACTTTTTTCTTAGCCCATTCTTATCATCATGACATTAATTTGGATCAGTAGAGAAAATACAAATTTCACATGCTGTCTTAAGTCATGTCTGAATTGTTTCAAATTTCTGCCATAGATTTGAAATATTATAAGACCTACTTATAAACAAGTAATTCTTTTTCTGCAGTTTCTCTTTCATTACTGATAGATCTTATTCTATCATCTATTTTCTGTTGTTCAGCATGTCGATATGTTTCATCATCTATCTTTCTTCTATCTACTTCTTGTAACTTGGCCTCTAATTCTAACCTTTAATAATATCATTAATAAAATAAATTAGTACAACACACTGAGAAAGTTCTAGAGACTAGATGGTAGAAAGAAGTCTTTCGAGCTCTTATGAATGTAAATATAGTTAATAGATCAAGTCAAAATTTCTTCATGTCCAGATAAAAAGTGAAAATGCACATTTTCCTTTAACCCAATTTGTTTGTTGGCGGAATAAACTGCAGTATGAATAGATGTTAGTTTCATTTTCAGTAGTGTGAAATATACATATATACACAATGTATATTAATGAAGTTTGTCCCTTACAGTAGATGCAAAAAAAATGATCAAATTGTGAATAGAGTAGGAGAAAACTCTTAAACATGCAGCAGAATTTAATTACATATACAAACTTTTCTGATTCTATATTGGCTATTTTATGAAACTCTTCCTCTCTAGCAGCCTGAACTCTTCTCACTGCCTCTCTTTCTTTCTCATCTAAAGCTACGGCTTGATTCTTGATTTTATGTTCATATATTTCTATTTGGGTCTGTAAATCTACAAAGTATATTCACAATAACAATCAATACTTGGAGATCAGTGGGATTTGTCTATCATTAAAATTTTGGTTAGGATTATATTAAGTGAATTTGCTCACTGTAATTTTGAGAAAGGAAAAATAGAATTATCTCCCTTGAACTTTATTTCACTACTTTGAGGGGTCATACAAAAGGTGAGTTCTGCATGTTTGGGATTCAAAGAATTAACCTGACGTTCAAATAAATCAAACAGGGTTCAAAATGCATTCTACTTGTTCCAAAAAAATAATAGCTGCAGAAATATTCAAAATGACAGAGCTAAAAATAGATGGGAAAATTTTAAATGTGACAATTCTGCTTTCCCAATGTTCAATTGAGGCCAGAATTGGAACCAATGAAATCTAATCAAACCTGTCCAATTGAGTACCACCCATTACTGCAACCATTTCACTGATTAGTAAACTTTATTCTTCATGTTTTATACATTCCTGGTTATTACATCACATTCTTTCTCTACTGTACCGCTCTAATTCAGCCTTGTTTTCCTAACTATATCTACCATAATACTTACTGAACAAAACAAATCAGTTTTACCTTCAACAATATTAGACAATCTATCCCTTTCTCTCTCTAGTTCACCACGCTGTTTTAACATGTCCATTTTTAAATTGGTTACATCCACTTTAGATTTATGGCTGATTTCATCAGTTCTATTTGATAACACCATGTTCTCTTTCTCCAAATCATGTATTCTACTAGTTAATTTACTGTGTTCTTCTGTGGCTTGTGAGATTTCTCTTAATAGAGATTCACTTTGTTTCTTTAGTGATTCTCTTTCAGCCTACAATAAAAGATAAGACAATTATAAAGACACATATCAAATTAGGTCTAGATTAAAAACAAAAAGTTCCATAAAAGAGCTCATGATATAAAAGATATTCTAGGTATACTCAATATGAAATGTAAATATAAATTTCTGAATCTAAATCGAAGTAAATTGATTGACCTTTGATGTCTTACAGATTGCACAAAATTTCTTATGTATCAAACAGTCACAAAATGATAAAGAAATCCAAAACTGCTTGACACTGACACAAACTAACAGTTAACCTAACCATCCTAAAAATTAACAAGTCTGTAACTATACAGGTTACTAACCTCTAATGCTTTAATAACACCAACGTTTTCTGATAATTGTTTAGATTGAATACGAGAAACACTGTCAGAATCTAGACCAATCTTTTCACGTTGAGATCTAATTTCTTCTAGCTCTGTTAATAAACCCTTAATCTTCAAATGTAACTGAGCATTCTCTCTTTGTAACACTCTCACTTTCTGTGTATCTTGTGAACACTCTGTTTGAACACGTGTTATGGTGTTCTCTCTCTCTTTACGTAGATTGGAAACCTGTGAAAAAAATATTTACACGTATTCCTGTTCTTTATTAAATGTCAATTAACTTATGAACATAAATATAAACTGAAATGAAGATGAATTGAGAATACTGAGTTCCATATTAGAGATTTTTTTGCTATTAAGCAATCAATAGAGAAAATTGAATAATGCCATATTTCATAGTGCTGATACATTAAGGTGAATTGATACATTGCAATAAGATATGTCATGATAAGCTTATCTTACATGACACGATAGCCAATAATCAACATTAGCTCTAATTCATGTCCAAGTTTAATCATATACTAGATAACCATGTAAGATTTTCTTAATTTCTTTACACAGAATTTTAACCCCCTGCAAGTGTCTTCTGTTGAATTGTGACTAGTTGCTTGTCAACAGTAACTGGTTCCTTTTAAAATCTCAAGACCCTTAAAAACCAAGTCAATAAACTTACCTCCACTTCACATTGTAATTTCACTTCCTCTAAAATTCTCTGATGTTCCAACTTTTCATGTTCATATTCAGATTTAACAAAAGACAATTCATATCTAAGTTTATTTTCATTGGCTTGATGATTTTCTATTTCTTGTTCTTGAGTTTGATATTTTTCTCTGTAAGTCACCTCTAAATCTTCTATAACTTGCATCTTCAATATTTCTAGTCTTTGTGGTGATATAATCTAAAATACAAACATCAAATATTTTAAAAATTATTCAACTAAACATCAAAAAACCAAGGATCCAGTAATATAATGTTATGTCAAATTACTTAAAAGATGAAAATGTACCGGTACAAAAAAAAAAATTTATATTAACAGCATCCATTCTGGATCATTCCAAAAAATGAATTTTCAGATTAGCTTCAGCTTATATGACATAAAAGGTAAATCTTTGATTTACATATATTCCAGGAAAATTAACCTTAGATTTTAAATCTTCTATTTCTGCAACTTTGTCTGCTAATTCTTGTCTTGTTTGATCATACATAGTTTTATACTTTTCTTGTACAATTCTACTCTCTTCAATAGTTGTTCGAACTTCATTCTGTAACTGCCAATATTCTTCTTGTAATCTAACAAAATAAAATAGATACATAGGCTCTATACTAAGAATTAGAATTGTTATTTTCTTATAATTGTTGAGTATAATTATTCAATTGGAGATCATCAGTTGCAAGGTTTTTGGAAAATTATTTGCTTCCATGTAGTAAAGAGTTCAAAGAAAGAACTGAATATATTGGAGAACATAGCCTACTAAGCTTCGACATTCCTGACCTGGAGTGTTCTGTTTTTAACTGCTGATAATTTGTTTTATGTTGTTCACTTCTCATGCGCTCATCAGCCAACAATTTCTGTAATTCTGTTTCTTGAGTTAATCTGGGTAGTTGATTTGATAATGATGTATTCATGGCACCGACACCAGAGGCAGACATAATGTAACTTGTACTAGCTGCCATTTTCAGCTTTTCAACCTATTAAACAGTAGTAGATGTTAAAAACAATAAATGAGATTGTAATTTTAATTTTCCAATGTAAAACTAGTAATTTAATTGAAAGCTAACTTAATTCATACTGCCAGACTTAAATAAACCACACTATACACACTAAACTCTCATGGAATTTGAAAGGACCGGCAAATTTCTAACATGTCCAAACACGGTCAACCATGAAAAATAATCCGAACTGAAACTAAAAAGAGGAAATTAAGATTTCTCACTCGACTTCGCGTTTCCTCTGTATTCATACATGCATATAGGAAAATTTTGAAGTCCTGGTGCTCTAATAACTTACCATGAACTGATCTCGGAATAATTTTGTCAATCAATTATTAAAATATTCATTAATTTAGATTTTATCAGTCATAATCATCACAGAATTTTGCTTTCAAACTTGACAACAGAATGCTACGCACGCTCAGCATTAATTTCCGGTGTGGATAAGAGTTATCTGTCCTTGACTAAACATCAAAATGACATCAATTTTACGGAATATAACGAAATAGCCTACAGAACAGCGAGAGTTAAAATCGGTTCCTAAAACTCTATGGTAGCATTCAGGTTTTTATTTTCAAAAGAAAACTACCAAAACTGAAACACATGGCAAATATCCTTTCAATAATTAGAAAGTATCCCACTACACTTAGCCTATATCGTTGATATCATTCTAGGCCTATATATAAACATAAGAAAAGGGTAGCCAAAAACTTAATTACGTTGAATTTGAAGAAATTTTTAAGAAAGTAACGTTAATTTGATTTGGGGCAAAAATACACGGCATGACCAGTAGAGATTAACTTCCTACCTACCTGACGGTCATATTCTTGTAACATATTTTCCATTTTGTTTGAGCTGTGCTTTTGATAGACACAATATCTTAGATTCAGAATAATTTCCGAGTTATACTGGCGTGAAAATATGAAATGATTATAACACTTAATTCGTTATAGTTTAAACCATTATCTATCATACTCCAAATGACATTATGACAATCCAATAACATTAATTACATTCTATTCAATTTGTTCACGTTTTTAAATCCTAAAGTATATCGTCACCTTAGTTGTCGTATTATCTAAAAAAAAAAAAAAAAACTCTTAGAAATCTACGTAAATGATAGTTATACATGAAGAGTGCCTTAAATGACTGACTATATTTCAATGGTAATGAACGTGATGGTAATGATTATGTTCAACGCGTGATCGACATTGTCCATTAAATCTACAGACACCAGAAATAATGGAACGAATTTTTCTTTTTTACATTTTGTTTTCTAATCCTTACATACTAAAAGAAAGAAATTGGCCCAAATGAATATTATATAATGTAGCATGTTCTTTACGGTTCTTCAAAATAACAAAATGAATTTATTTCCTGGACAATTCGTAACAGACCTCAACTAAAACCAATGGGAGTAACATATAGATCTACTCAATTTTAAATAAAATACGATATTATTTATTAATTTTGTCGCCCACTATCATTTAAACTATTCAAGATTTTTGGTGTGCCAAGCAGTCACTCAGATGTTTTTGACATGGACGCTTTTCAAGACAATTGCGACAAATTGAACATTTTGCCCGAGTTGCGTTCATGGGCAATTATTTCTCATCCAACCTTGTAAATATTTGCAACATGCATTTTTATAACATATCGGTATATTTATATTATATTGTTTATTTTTTAGTACATCGTGAAAGATTTTATTTTACAAATAAAATGAATGGAGTTTACGTCCTATTCTTCCACAAAGGCTACAGGAAATTCTATAAAAGCGGGAAATGGGGTGAGAAGTAGAAATCAGTGATAATGATTATAACTAATGAACTGTAAACCCCCAGGTGTAGTAAACGACAATTTATTCCGTGTCCATAGAAATACAATGAGTACCATAATCATAGCCACTGTATATCAGAAATACAGCATTGGTAACCAATTTAAACAATAGTGGATCAATACAATAGCACGGGCACTGGAGCAAGTTCTGCAAAAAGCTCCTTACTGGGGATTTCCTGTGCCTGTGATAGTTTTGTGAAGAGTAGAACTATGAAAGAACTCGCGACAATGTTTTAAAATATTGAACATCGTCGCTTTAACTGCAGAGTAATGTAAATAGGGTGGTTTAGTGTAGCGTACATTTATAACATTGATGTATATTTATAATAATCCTAATTGATGACAAGCTCGGGTGACTGGAAATTTACAGAACATCAATAATATAGTCTTTTCAGATTTTTTTAAGAACCTTACATTATGGCAGGTCACCCTTCGGTCGCCAAGATCAAACACCTGCCTTGGAAATCAATGATCAGATATGTCAGATAATATGTTCACATAAGTTATAATATAATATCTTAGAATTTTTTCCTTTTTTCCGCTATTCTCTACTTAGTAAACATTATCCTACCATCTTCTGCATATAATGATTTATGAAGAACGAATAATTCGGCTAAAGCACTGTGTTGGCCATATAAATAAGATACACTATAATCTGACCGTGTACGTAATCGTCCCCATATTATAATCCATGTTACAGTCTAATTAACATTAGACCCAACTTTCGTTTCTGTTTTTTCTTCATTAGTTTTTATTTTTTAGTATAGCCACTTCACAGTACAGTAGGGTCTAACGATCGGTGTATTGAACATTCGTCAAATTAACCTTTTGACCTAACCTTGCTTAAACCAATCAAATTAAACTGGGTAAATTCGGAACATTCACTGAAGACGTGTTTTTTGCTTCCACTTTCAGTGCAAATACACCTTTTGATCGCGTCACAAAACGCCAATATTTACCTAACTTCTGTTCGTATTTTATTAGTTTCGTTGCGAAACTATTTTATTAGCTATTAGCTTTGTACGTAACCACTACAGTAAGGTCTAACGAAGATATCTATGGTATATCTTACTGTAGTAATTATGTACAAAGCTAATATAAATACGAACTGCAGTTAGGTTAATTAGGTTTTAATTAGACTGCCGAGATGGCGTAAATTTGATTTGACTCCTGTCGTAAGATCCTACCATGAAGTGGCTATACTAAAAATAAAAACCAATAAAAAAAGTTGGGTCTAATTTCAATTAGACTGAATCCTTGTCAGTCCATAGTCAAATACGTTAAGACGTAAATAAAAACCGCCCATCACTAGACTTTGGATGACCCATAACTAAATTGAAGGGTGATACATGGCACATGATGAAGGATCTGCGCTTTCACGCTATAACCTTAAAGTTCGCATTTCGGTCGATAAACCGTAGTATCGGCTTCCATTGAAATGCCTAACCCTCCTATTTTGTACCTAACCAACTCAAAAAGCTTTTTCTCTTTAATAAATTTGATTGGCTCTGAAAAGTGCCGTTTTTATAGTTGTGGATCTTAATGTCTCAGTGTCTAATGTAGGAATGAAGTGGTTTATTGGGAACTGGAATCGTTGGAAATATCTGAAAGGCTGATGTCTTCTAAGTCTACTAGTGCCCGAATCTGGTTCCGTAAAATCAAAATCTTTTCAGCCTTGATCCTGGCATATTCGTAATAAGTGTTCCTTACTCCTTCAATACTGGACATTCGTAACCTGATATTGTACCGAAATGCTCGTAAACCATCTCTTTTTGCTCGGTCATAGCGGACTTGTTGTTCTTGTAGGCGGTTGTTCAACAGGACTACTTGTTCACAGGCTCTTCGGAATCGGAATTCAGTTTCAGATAAGGTGAAATGTAGCTTAGAAATTTCATCCATCATAGTCGTGCAAAAAAATGTAGATTTCTTATAGTCGATGAATCTGGAATGAAATCTGATGAATTGACATCTTCTCGGTAGGTATTTATAGGTATGGTACATTATGACATTTTCCCCTCGTCTGCCATGGCACAATGACATGAGGTGTATTGCTCTTATCTTAACAACTATCATCTTTTTACACGGTCGTTGATTGTCTCTTTGTTTTTTAATCATATCATTTGACAACTAGCCTAATGTAATCAGCAATCGACACTTTTATAATCACCTTTACTTATCTTGTTAATCTTTAATCCATCAGTTAATCTGTGATAACATTATAGACGATACAGCATTCACAAAGTATCTATATGACCCGAATTTGTAGTTTTTAAAGATAATTTTGCAAAATACCAGTAATGACCAAAAGAAGTTATAGGAAGTCGAGTTACACTTACCGTGTGAAAAATGTATTTTTAAATGAAATTAAGAACACGAAATAAGAAATATTTTCCGTCTTTTGAATAGTGATGGCAACACAAAGCCTGACACTAGTCAACAAACTCTGGATTCCACCGTATCTAGTTACCCTTACATTCATGCAAACATACAAACCAAAACTCGAAAATAGGATAACAAAGTTTTTGCCTGAGAGAAATCACAAACCAGACATATAACCTGCAAGTTAAAATACCCCCAAGGTGAGCACCTGCTAGGTGAGCACATTATAATTTATTTCATGCTGAATGTTACAAAACCCAACAGACATCAACTTTACCTTAAATCCATCACCAATATTACAAGATGTTACCTGTCCAGACCAACGCTTTAAAATCTTTACCTTACAAATGCATGCACCAAAAAAAAGAAATTAAAGAAGAAGAGTCGTCCTTAATCCCCAGTCCTACTATAGATCTGACCATTGGCGAAAGAAAAAGTGGACAATCTCAATGCTTAGCAATATACGCAGAATCTTTGTCATGCTTCTGCGGTCAAATTGCGATGAAATTACAGACAGAAAATAGAAATTTTTGCCGGTAACTTGGTGGACCGTTTGCGACAATTTTCATTTAATAACCCTTTACTTTTAGCAACAAAACGGCGGAGTATTGGCAGGTCGGGGATACTATTTTGTTGCTCGGTTATGGCACTGTCGTCGATTGATTGATTGATTGTGAAACATAGCGTGATTGGTCACATATTGGAGCCCGAGCGTTGAAAACAAATCTTTTACAGTTTGAATCTGCGACCAGTTTTAGGATCCCGTAAACACAAAATGTTTTCAAACCTATTTGTCTTTGCTGTGGAGATAGCCGCGAGCAAGCATACCACCACGCAAGTAAAAGGGCAAAAGAAGCAGCAGTAAAAAGTCTGCAAATTTGGAGACCACATTTCTCCAACCACCCCCAGTGTTGGGCATCACATGCAATTCTTCTTGAAATCCCCTCATTAGCCTGACACTTCTCTTACTAGCTTGGATATGCTGTTGTATGATACTCTGAATAAGTAAGCAAGGCTGTCATATGAATTCCCGGTTGTTATAGATGCAAAGTAAGTCCTGGATGATGGGGAACACGAAATGTGTAGAGATCTTTTTAATTCTGAGAGTAAGACGGTCTACAATCTGATGGAACAGGAGAACAAGGCCAGGGAGATGTGGATGCTGCAACAGCCAGAGAGAAAAGTAGGACAAACCTCACACCAATACATGTATCTACAAAATAGGCCATTTGTTGTCAATGAATGGATGCACTCGTATATGACCTTTTAATCTATTTGTAATATTTGTAAATCTATTAAAGGTGGAGGGTTTTCAATGAGTGTACACATGCGCATTAAAAGCATCTGGTCACAACTATCACTTATAGTTCTGATATCGACATGTCGCCATCGCATTACCTTTGTTATACATCGCCAATCTTGGTCATGGTCAGCAGGTCTATCGCAGATTATCGGCGAACATCGCAGAACTGTCGCCTAATATTAAGCGGATCTTTGAAGAATCATCTAGGTTTCAAATTTAAAGAGACTGCTTCGCTTTTTTATACGACCACGTGCCAATGTGGACGTATATTGCCATCGCCCCTGTCCGTCGGATGTATTTGGGTTATTAATATTAATTTTCTGACAGCTGCCAGTGGGCGTATGTTACCTTGCCTGGTAAGCTATCTTCTACAATTCCGAATTTATGGGTATGAGCTCTTTGTTTATTCCGACTGCCATGGTTCTAGTATAACAAGAGCGAATTTTCAGTCGTCGATATGCTTAAGTCAATAACATCCAAGGATAGGCTGCATTGTTTTTTTTATTTTACTTTTTAAGAGAAGATAGTGGACCTCAGCAGTATAACGCCCACCACGGCATGCGGATGGTAAATTTTCAAGATTTTGGGTCAAGGGCAATAACTCTGCTTCTAACGGTCGAAAATAGCTCAAATTCGAACTTGATCTTCGTTTTATGAATATGTATACATATACCGAATTTCATTTGATTCCATCAAAGAATGTAGTTTTTAGAGAGTTTACAAGCAAATGTCGACGGACGGACCGACCGACGGACGGACAGGGCTGCCGACAATATGTTATGTCCACATAGAGAGATGTTGTGGTATAAAAATGAGATATAAAGGCTCTGTGGACGATCACGGTAAAGCACTGGGTTGTTTTTTTTTCATAGCTCCTTATGACAGTTTGAAACTAGTCATCACCTCTATAAGCATCTTCACAATGTCAAGCTATTACGAATTTCGTCTTTTCCTAATACCTAGACATTGTGAAGTGGCATTGTGACATTGTATTAGTAGCTTACTGTGGCTGACTGAAACGGGACTTAACCAATTTACTGGTGAATCTTTTAGTTGTAAAAAAGGTATAACTTTCCATGTGGTAAAAACATAAAACAACATCATATTCGAAACTTTTTAATGGATAATGGAAGGCCTCTCCAAAGTACAATTAAATCCATTTAATTTTTCAAAATTATTCTATATCATTGAACAATCTCTTTTCACTCAGAAACCATAATTAAATTGGACTAATGAAATAAATTATGCAAAAACATGTATTACTGATTTTGAAATAATGTGCTAGAGAAATTTCGAATGTCATGGTCCACTAAGGCAGTTTACAAAACGATTTTCTACAAAATGCTAAAAAAAAACAAACAAAAAATTGGTCTACAGGAATTAGATATTTTACTTACATCTTCACAATTCTGGTCTTTCAAATCATGAACATCACTAATAGGAAAATATCAATCTCAATTCAACATTTTAAGGTTTTTTTCATTTCCAAGATTAAGACAGAGATGTGGAGAATTTGTAAAAGCATTACAGGCTCAAAAAAAAACAAAGACTAATATGAATTTTAAAATATATTGTTCATTACATAAAAAGTTTATTTTCACTCTTTACCTTGCAGGGTTTTACAGAAAAAACTGTGAAGATGAAGTTAAATTCGGAATGCAAGGACTGCAAATGAAATGTAAAATAAAAGCTTGATATGAGATGAAGATATCAGAAATAAAAATATATTTTTTCACACATACTAGCATTAAGATTTGCTTTAAAAGTAGGATAACACACAAATAATAGTGGGGTACATTCATTCTTTTGTTTCTAGCCAACATATTTTGATTCTGAATTATGCCACTTTTTATATTTATCTAATCTATTTGAATAATAAATGCCCTAATATAACAATTAAAACTTGCTATTTAATTTTCAGCAAGAAACATAAAACCCATATGCTTTGTCTAGAAATAATAATAAATAACACTAACAAGTCTAGATATCTTACATCACTCAAAATAATAATTATAATAAGTCATCAGGGTGCTATTAAAATAATAATTATAGACTGATATGGGTAATATCTGATATAGAACATGATATGTTATATATGCACCAAAATCTTTCCTTGATAATACTGTCTAAAGTCACATTTAACCAGATATTCTCCCTGTTTTGAATTTTGTAAAACTGCAATAGGTGCCCAAAAGGATACAACCTTATCATCATATAGTATTATCTTAATAGAACCCTTGACTGATAACAAAGTCTTATATACACTACTATACAAAACTGGTTATCTACAATAACTTAGCATCAATTATACAATAATCAATCATAATAATAAACTTATTCATTTACAAATGCTAAATAACATTCATACATTCTGTTTACAGTAATTAGTTAAAATCTTTCAGAAAATGTATATTAGCAAATTACTGAACCATTTTCGAAAAGAAATATTAGCTAGATAAGAAATAACAAAAAATTGTTAAAAAAATATGCCTTCCTTTGGTACACAGATCATTGTAATGTCATTCTTGGTTTTTTCATTCAAAACATAAATCATCTTTACACAAACAGTATTTTTTGCTAAAGTTTGTTATTCTAAACTGATTTACATAGTCTCTTCTGGATAAGTACAAACAGTAATGTACATGGTACATTAAAACATTGTAACAGCTGTACATTCAACATTTGTTAACTTTTTTTCTGTTATTGCACCTATCATATCCATTTATAGCACTTTTATTGATAATTATTCAGTATTAGTCAAAACAACAAAATCAATAAACTAATTTAAAGTGATCAAAAATTTCATCATTGGTTTTGCCTATGTAATAGATAATGCCAATATTATACCAAACAATTAAGTGCAATGAGTCTTGAATAATCTTGCAGGATTTTTCAATATAGTGTAAAAGCAAGACTTACTCGTGCATTTTTTTTATAGTGAATCGGGAATACTTCCCTCTTTCCAAAACATAACTCATAAAAGTCTGATTATATAAACCTACATTCATTTGAAATGCAGGAACACAGATTGATCAGCTATAAAAACACAGTATTCTGTCATTGATGTTGATGAATATAAAATAGAAGGTGGACTGGACAATGATTCACAACATATCACATTTCAGCAGAAAACATATTGGACGAAAACATACAGTTTAAAAATTGATATCCAAAAATATAATGTTCTTTTCTATCAATCACACTCAGAGACAAACTGATAGTTTCTCAGATTTTCATCCAAAATTTCAAATTTTTTGCTAAGCAATAAAATCCAAAGCGAAATCTGTATCAATACAATAATTATATAAGAATTCAACAAGATAATAGAGATTGTAAAAGCTTATATTACTTGTTTCAACTTATAATAGCTGTAACTGATAGTGAAATGCTTAAGGTGAACTGAAATTTTGAAATATTGGAATAAAGGTTGGGTTTGAAGAACTTAATTATGATAGTTCTTCACGTACTTTGGTAAATTGGTCTTCATCAATCACAGTAGAAAATTCTATTCCAGGTACTGCCATTTGTATCTGCATATCATTTTTTAATAGAATTCTATACAGATCTGACTGTACCTTGCCTTCTTTATAGTCCCTTTCTAGTTCTGTTAACTGTTTAACAGATGTACAAATATTACAAATATAAACTGAACTTCCATCAGTACCACTCTCGAAAAATAACGTTCCTCTATCACATTCGAAATATTTCATTATAGCTTCCTGCATAGCTCTTAATTCAAATAAAGCACAAAACTCAGTTAATTTTTCCTCGAAAACTTTCCCTTCAATCTTCCATTTTTCACACATTTCCACACCTTTAGGTGTACGATTGTTATTAGTGTTTATTTTCTTGGTGGGTGTTTGGGTACGGCGCGGAGATGAATTTTCATCTTGAATTCTAAGTTCAATTGATTCATTCTGATTATCATACTGCATTATTAAAGGTACAACATTTTCTTTGTATCTTACATTACGTTTTGAATCATTTCTATTGTTTTTATAACCCACAATGTCAGTCTGTAATTCTTTACGTGGACTGCCACTGTTTCTACGTTGATCATACGAGGTACTACTTAAAGGTTCCTCTCCTCTAAGATATGACACTCTATTTTGTTGTTCCCTATTTGAATTCTTTGGTGGACGTTTTTCAACAATCTGATGCTCGGCACATTTTTCAGGATATTCCAACATTCTACTTGCTTCAGGCTCTTTAGATTTTTGTTTTTTCTTAACATCTTTTTCAGACATTTTCTTTTTTTCAGTTCTTATCTCATATTTTTTCTCTTTTCTCTTTTTTGGTCGACAAAACATTGGAAAACACATACACCAACAACTCTTTTTAGCAGGAATTTCATCCTCATCATCTTTTCTGTAGGAATATTCCAGGATTTTCCGCGATCTAGACACACTGTCAATATTGTCTAACATTAGCATATTCTCGTATGATTTATGAAGTTTTTGAGGCGTATCAGAAGCAACACAATATCTATTTCTTTCAGGAGAATCTGTTTTTGGCACCAGTAACTTGAGTGATTTGATACCTATCTTTATTTTAACCTCACCTATAAATGACAATAAAGATTATTTAAAAATAATTCTAATCAATACCCAATATTTATGTTGCATACTTAAATTGGAAAGTTTCATACTTTCTGAATATCTTTGAGGCTTTGCCATTGCAATACAATAGTACCATATTCTAATCTAGAATGTATTCTAATCAGGAATATATTCTAGTATAATATTTTTTCTGTATTTAACAAACGAGAATTACATACCTTTGTGGCGTGGTTTATCCCAATAACCTATAATGACAAAATAAATAAAATATTAATTAATAAAATTAACAAGAGTTGCCTCCCTTGTAATACAATGATATTTCTGTCTTCATCTATTGATGTTTTATTCTTGCCTTACATTTCCACAAAGCATGCCATCGACAAAAATAATCTTTTGTTTACATCATTAAAGAGCCCCACTCTTTCACAGCTTGACGTTTTTGATAGATCCAGTTTACTTAATTAAATAATCAAAAATTTCCAACTGTAAGGACATTTCTAGAAACCCTTCCTAATTTTCTCCTTCTCCTGCAGAAAATTACAAAAAGTCACCTCTTATTTATGAAAAACTAGCTTGGTGTTTTCCATATCTGTAAATAACAGAAATTAAATCTCTAAGTACAATATGACATACCTGTTGCTGGTATAATTCGTTGACTAGTATCAATAGTACTGGCAAGTTTATGTTGACCAGATTGTCGTAAAGCATTAATAAACAGTGCTCTTGCTGTACCGCCATTATCATCAAGATGTTGGAGTAGAGCAGAGTTACGTCCAAGTTTTGTATCTTCATTGCAGATTCCATCAACAACGTCAGTATTTAAAACACCATGTTGTAGCAGGTAGTCGAAAACAGGTTCAGTATCTAGAGTTTCTACAAGGTCATTATTGGTGCTTAGTTGCTCTGTGAGCATGACGCTTGAACTATCATGACCTGGAAAGAAAAATCAACACATTGCTTATCTGGACTAATTAAAATAATCTAATGATTAACATATCTCCATTATAAATAGATCAAGTAGTCCATCTCATGATCAATGAGCGTTTCAGAGACATGTAATTAAAACCAACCAAAACGCAAAGGACAGATTTAATACTAATAATGTATATGACTAACCAAAGCACAAAGGCAGTGAAGACAAAGAGTTACATTTTAAAAACCCTCTGTTGCACAAATACCTGACATATTAGTCTTTGTCATTGTCAAATTTCATTCATCCAGAAGATAAAAGATAAAGACCTAATAACTTTTAATATCTACAATATACCTATAAGACCTATAGTCTCATACATCTAATATTAGACTACAAAAACTTGCAGTTGTATAAGTAAATTAAATGCATTATATAGTGCAGATGTATGCATATACTTTGTATATTGCAGTCATATTATTATCGTATATTGCAAACTTATTTTAAACATAGTGTTTATATAATCACCACTTATATTTTGTGCTGTTAACATTCAATAACTGTAGACTAATTCATAACTGATTTTTCTCATCAACCTAAACTTCTCAATTTTACAGATGCATAAAAATGTGACTTAAGATCTTCAAATAATTATATGATACCAGTACTCGTATAAGCTCTATATATCATAAAGTCATTCAAAACATTAAATAAATTTCAAGATGGGTTTCCTTATTTTTTAGTGTCAAATTAAGCAAACTATTTGATTAATTGGTGTTTCTAATAATATATTCTTAATCATATCATTATGTTCTTATTGCATGTAAGTTAAGATCTTTAACCAATCATAAATGTCCATATATGTACAATAAAAGACTTTTTGACCTCTCTTGATCGGTCACTCAATGGAATTCTATGGGTAATTCTCTTCTAATTTAGCTAATTATGAATAAATTATGGACATGAAGAAATACCAGTTTGTCTTACAAGTCATTAGAACACCTCTACTTTCTATTTATATAAGTATTAGCATATTCATTTTCATAAATGAAAATAAGGGAACTCATGATTAAACTGCATTTCAGTTTTTCTAGTTATCACTAAAGGTATAATGTGAAAAATATGACGTCATCCATGAAGCAAAAATCAATATTCATGATACAAGATTAAGAATCTGAATCAATCAATTGCATAAAAAATCCCACTAAGGAAAATGCCTAGTTCAAGGTCATATTCTACAAGCATTGTATCATTGTGAAGTTAAAAAATCACTCTAGAACTTAGTCTCTAGAAGGTCTTTGAACAGCTTATAATTGCACACTTACAATATTGAATTAAAACCTGCAGCAAAGGCAGACTGCCAAACTTTACACAATAAATCATTTTAGATGAAAAGATTTTCACTTTTCACAAATATAATTAACACTTGCTGCTTGACTGAGTAGAAATTATATTCAATAGATATCATTTTAATATCTATTCAATATCCATGTTTTATTACATATCATGATTCTTTATGGTAAAACTATAAATTTCATATAAACATACAGAATATACATATTAGTCAGAGCATCTTCACAATGTCAAGCTATTATGAACTATGTACTTATACCTGCAATAGTCACCTTTCTTATATCTTGTTTCTTCGCCAGGAGGTACAATCCAATCAAATCGTTGCATTCCATGATTCAAAATTATTGGCTATTATAGGTCAAGGTATAAGTACGAAATTGGTAATAACTTGACATTGTAGTGTAATCAATTCCACTTTTGATTAAAGTTCTTAACAAATTCTAAATATTGATATTTACCTCAGACAACCTTTCATAAATATCCAAATATTACAGACAAGTTATTATAAGTCTAAAACAAGATGAAAATATATTCAGTGAAAACAGATCACATGACCAGCTGAGTCAATAGAAAATATCTGACAAATCCTCTGATTTACTTCTTTCTAACTTTTTATCTTTTCTTTAGATGTAGACATCATTTGCCCTTTAATCTTTTGACATTAAAGCTTACATGACATGTTAAAATTATACCTGAGAAGATGTTGTACACTTGTTTTATTTCTGTTCAACTCAAATAAAGAAGAATTTTACATGAAACTGGTAAAAAAATATTTTTAGTAAAACCATAAGGAGTTTTGAAGTAATGGAAAAATAAATAATAAAACTTATTGCTATTAAAACTTATTGAAGTTTATTAAGAAATTCTATCAATCATCAGAAACGTTAAAATAGCTCTAGGGCTAAGATCAACATTTTCAAATGTTCAAATTTACATAATCAATACAAAATATGACAATACTCTCTTGTTGAAATTGTTGATTGTATTGAACAAATAGAGCACCGATTCAATTCTTCTTAATCAAGACATCAATTAATCATTACCTGTATTGTGGGACAGCCAATTGGAAATTTTTAATTCTGATAACTAAAAATAATATCATTATTCTGCATAATTTATTGAAATGAAGAAATTATGCTTCCCCATTTCTTTTCTGTTTGCCCAACAGAATGTACTTCTAATAAGTCTTCACAAAATTACTGTAAAACTTTTTTTAATGATCAAGAATAACTACATAAGAACAACTTTTCAATTGAAATTCCAATTTCCAAGTAGATTTACTTTTACTTAAGTTTGATAGTATAGTATAATAGCCATAAAATACAAATATAATCTTATGTGTCACAATAAGGTCAATATATTACACTTCAATACATTTCTTTCTACTTATTGACAAAAATATACCTTATTTAGCTGTCATTTTAGCCTTATTATAGCTATTTGAAGAGTTTTTCACAATCGTCTACTATAACAGCTGCTCTCTGCTTTATATGAAAATCACAAGTTACAAGACAAATATGATAATCTGGAAGTAGTGTAAACTACTCTAAAATTCATATATGTAATACTACTGCAAGCAAGATATGGCGAGACGATGCGCCATTAATGTGTATGTCAAGCATGGTTGTATAACAATACTTGCATACATGCGATACCATGCATACGTTAAATAATTCAAGACAATTTTACTCCTGGAATTATCATACACAACATTTAAAACATCTTACACTTAATGGCATATTTATAAAATTGTATTAAACAAGTGTTTTGTTTTGTTCATTTAACACATGGCTGTTCAGTGATGTCTGATGAGGTGGAACAAGCAAACTGACATAAAGATCAAATAAATAAGATTAATGTCATACTAACCTTAACAACTAAAAATCCAATGAAAATTAATGCTTAAGATATTTCTATTGTGGAATAAATTATTCTCAGCCAGAGTATTCAAATATCACATTGAATACATATAAACACTATGCACAAATATCTGTTTCACCACTATACACTAGATTCTGTAGCCTTGAATGAACAGTTACTATATTACAATATGTTGCTTTAATGTACACCCCACCAAAAATACAATAGCCCTTTCATAAACAGACCCTCAATCCTTTATGACCAATACGGTTATATCTGAGTTTAAAGAGTTAATCTTATGTGTCACACTAATGGTAAATGGTGATAAAGGGTTTGAGACATAAACATGGGTCCTATATTATTATTTATTAGGTGTATTAAGGGCTAACACTTTATACAAACATTAAGCAGCACATTATCACAAAATAATTACATTAACCCCACAATGGCTATATTATGATTCTATTAACCTGGACTAATTGACTGCAGGATTTAAAGGGTTAATCTCATTATCAGATCAATTAAATCCAACATTTTGTTTAAAGTACAGATATATAGCCCTGTATATACTACAATAATTTTCACAAAAGAAAGCTTTTATGTAAATGTTTTCCATGGTAAATTACCTTTCCGAAATATTTGCAACATCAAATCAATGTTATTAATTAATACAATAGGATTGAATCCTGTAAGCTTCAGTCCAAATCAGACTGAAGACATGTATAATTAACAAATTCATCAATAAAGATAGCTTGCCAGGCAAGGTAATATACGCCCACTGGTGGGTTTTATTTTAAATAAAAATATTTGGCAGTACAATAACAACTACCAGTATGAAATATTCAACCTTCAGACATATAGTTCTTCTGAATTTTTTGAGGAGATACTGAATAATGTCACCAAGTTTCATCAAAATCTGTTAAGAATTGGGCCTTCTTGAGTGTTTACAGGCTAAAACTGAGTTTTTAAGAACAAGGGCAATAGCTCATACTAAATATTTTTCGATTTTTCTGATTTTCAACAAGGTTCATTCTTAGGTGATTACATACACTCACACCAAGTTTCCTCAAAATCCATCAAGGATTGTGCCTTTTAGAGTGTTTACGTGCTACAAATTGAATGCATTTTCAAGAACAAGGCCAATAACTCATACTAATTTTCAATAGGGTTCATCCTTGGGTGATCACTAACAACCGTACCAAGTTTCGTTGAAATCAGTCAAGAATTGTGCCCTGTAGTGTTTACGAGCAATTGTGGACGGAAGGACGGTCATGGGTGACAGCAATATGCGCCCCCCATTTCATGAGGGTGTATGAAAATCAGGTCCAAAATGTTTATTGTGCAAAGGCAAGAAAAGCAATTCAGATTTTCAGAATTACTCATATCTTTCCTCATCAGGTTTTAAGAGAAGGAGGTAAATTGTTCAAAAATTAACGAATTTAACACTTTATGAAATTTCAGAACAATACCTTACAATGTTGACTATCTAGATGGCATAATGTCATGTAAATTGCTAAAAGGATGGAAAGCAAGGTTCGAGTCTTGAGATAATCATATGTTCATGGATAAATATATTCAAAAAATAAGATCAATAAATCTTTTTAAATTGCTACAGGTTCTATGTCTTTAATAGACAAACTGATAGTGAATCTCTCTTTCATTACAAAGAATGGAATAAAGACCAAAGTTCAGTATTTCCTTCAAAATAAAGTTATAGGTGGCTATATTCCAATCACATTGACATCAATCTGACAACAGGAAACATAGAATACAGCACAATGATGTTTTCTGTATCAACATGCCCCTAAATCTTATATTTCCATAAATTCCTGCACAATGAACATCAACACTGTTTACACTGTTCATAACAGAATAATCTAACATTGTTTCTGTAGCCTATACCTGAAGGATTTGTACATACATGTATAAACAGACATGCATTTTATATCTTGCTAAACAGTTTCAACATACACACATTGAAACCATAATTCTTGAAGTTATAAGTATCTATAAATTTCATCCATAACAAATCCTGTAATCGACACATCTATACTTACTACTGAATGTTATCCCATGA